AATGCATCTTAAAAAAGGAAGAGTGAAGGTATTATATTCTTCTTATTGTTTGTATAATAAATAGATCATATCTTAAATTATTAACATTTTTATAATAAACATTAGGTTTTTATGGTGGTTCAGTTTCTGGTTCATCTTCATTTGGTTCTAGTATCTCTTCCGGTCATCGTGTTGGACTCAAAAAGCTCTTATCGGATATTGCTTCTATTACTAGAGATGATGATGAATCAGGAGGTATGAGTGAGTTGGATAACTACTTGAAGGAGAAATTGTTGCCTAAAGATATGGAACTTGATTTGTTGGCATGGTGGAAAACAAATGGGATTAAGTACCCGACACTACAAAGGATAGCTAAAGATATATTAGCTATTCCTGTTTCCACTGTTGCCTCGGAATCAACTTTCAGCACTAGTGGAAGATTAGTAAGTCCTCATCGTAGTCGACTTCATCCAAAGACATTGGAGGCTTTAATGTGTGCTCAAAGTTGGTTGTTGAATGAAATTCGAGGTAGTATACTATTTTATATTAATTATATGAAATTGTGATTTTTTTTTGCATACTAATAATATTAATTTTATGCAGCAACTTGTTCTGAAGAGACCGAGGCATATTGTCGTTCTGTTGAATTTGATTATGATGTGGAAGAGGTAAAACGACACTTCTAAAAATATTAATTTTATATCGTTTCCATGATTTTGTTTGATTTTGAGTTTGTTTAATATTTTGTAGGAAAACACTAAAGAAAGCGGGACAACAAGTTTGGATGATTTTGTTTGATTTTGAGTTTGTAACTTTGTTTTAATGTTAATTGGTAATGTATTATTGTGATGAATTAGTTTTTCATGTTGTGTACTTGGATGTTTTCGTTGGTTGGTTGATGTTACAATATTAGACTATTAGTAATTTCTATTTGGTTAAATGATTTAAGAACTTATTTGGTATTTTAAGCCTATGCAACGTCTTAATGTATTATTATGTATTTGTAGTTTTTCCTTCTTTTTTTTTTCTGCCATATTTCGGGTTATAGGGTCGGGTTATCGAGTAATTATCGGGTTTCAGGTTTAGGGTCGGGTTCGGGGAAAGTTTCAGCTCCGACGGGGCGCCCCGATAAGAAACCCATCGGGTATCGGGTACATATGTAAAAATCGGGTTCGGGTTTGGGACACCATGCCCCGCCCCGAACCCGCCCCATTGCCATTCCTACCTCCGATAGACCTCTCATAAGCTCCTAACTGCTACATACTCACTCTCAAGGCATCTCATAGCAGCAGTAATCTCCTAAGTTAAGGCATCACAAATCAGGCCACTCTAGTCCTAATATGAGTACCTAGCCTACTCTCTCATGCATAACATAACATATCATATTCTCATAACACATAATGTAAGGGTATTTTGGGGATTCACCGTTCGGGCGCTGGCTAATAGTACACACTACTCCACTCTGGTTGTTTCAAAACTTATTGCTCTTTTTAGAAAAATCAGTTCTTATTTGTTGAAAATTTCTCAAATCCTCAGTTTGAGTTCAGATACGCCCGAAGGTGCATCCGAGTCCCTCAAACCAAGGCTCTGATACCAACTTGTAACGATGAGATTTTCAAAACAATTTTTTCATTTTTCAACAACCAAATTTATATAAAAATATTCTCAAAAGTATTCAACAATAGTTATCAAAACATAACATATCCCAAGATCACAAAAATCAAATCCATTCACTGATGTGTACGGGTCACGTCGGCGTCTTCCCACGGTCCTCGCTAGTACCTAAAACACATAACACAACAACTGTAAGCATAAATGCTTAGTGAGTTCCCCAAAAATACTACATATAACACATACGCCACTCGAGGCTACTGTACGACCCTCTGGTCGATGTGTCTCAGCGGAACCCTCCGGTCCCATAGCTCGTTGGACCCTTTGGTTCGGTCATAGCTCGTTGGGCCCTCCAGCCCGATCTGAATTGTTGGACCCTCCGGTCCGGTCTATACAATTATATATCATACATACAACACATAACACATAATCGCATATATCGCATACAATCTCATACATAGCCCATAAGACCTTCCGGTCAAAGCATAATACCACTCTAGGTAACATATAGTGGGAAGACTAACCTTGTGTAACTCGGTAACTCAGAAATCTCGGACTCCGTGAAATAGGATCTAGCCTCCGCCTAATCATACGAAATAAACACTCAGCATCAACACATTTCCCAAGGCTAGACCAATCCCTCTCTTAGCATTTCTCAGGAGGGTAAAAGACCATTTTACCCCTCTTAAGGCTCAGATACTCTAAAGTTGACCAAACCCTAAAAGTCAATGAAAGTCAACGGTCAACCCTTTGACCAGACTCGTTGAGTGCCCTATTTTGACTCAGTGAGTTCAACCATGAACTCACGACCTCAAAATCCCAAATGATTCACTGAGTCACTTCCCCAACTCAGCGAGTTACCATCTGTGCGATTTATGGGGAAAACCCATCCTACTCGCCGAGTTTGTTCTTGGACTCGGCGAGTTCAAGCCATGCTCAAACTCAAATGACATCCTGAGGTCAGATCCGTTCCACTAACCCATAGATATGGCCTACTTAAGCAAAATAAACACGTAAAGTTTGGATCTTGATGCCCATGCAAAGACCTAATGGCTCTATTTGAAGAAATGGCCCCAAAATGCCATCCTAAGCTCTTAACTCCCAATGACACTCATAAAGATCGAAGAGTTATGGTCTCTGGACCACTTTGGATCAAGATCCAAAGTCTCAACACAAGGAGGGACCAATTGCACCACAATCCATACTTTAAAGGGGCTAGAAACCCTAACTCTCAAAGATTAACACCAAACTGAAGAAGGATCTAAATATATACCTTATAATGAAGTTCCTAGCCTTTGAAATCCACATAATATCGCCCTCTTTAGTTCCCTCTTGCCTTGTCCACCTTCTTTTTGCAAAAACACCCACACAAAGATCAAGAATGACCTCTTCTTCCTTATAAACACTCTGGATCTCTAAGGGTTCCTCTCAGGGGCCTGGTAGTCGCAAATGGTGGCTATAAGCCCCTTTAAATAGGTCTCAAACCCCGCGGATTAGGGTTTCATTAAATAGAGTGGGCTCGCCAAGTCCACGAATAGACTTGCCGAATCCACCATTAAATAAGTCTGACCATCCGCGCTCCTACTCGGCGAGTCTGAGTGCCTACTCGCCGAGTCTCTCTCCAAAACTCAATATTAAAGCATAAAATAAGATACCTAGGAGTCCGGATGTTACATGAAAACTAGAGTACCTGGAATATAAATTGAAAACCGTAAGCATAAAGCTTGGTGAGTTCCCCGAGATACCACATAGCAAACATACAGTAAATATACAATGGGCCCCGCCCGGTCATCAGACCCCACCCGGTCATCGAGTTGAGCTCAGAAAGCATATAAACACATACACATATAATATACATAGCATACAGATAATCATCGGGCTACGCCCGACATTGGACCTTATTCCACTAGCATATAAACATAGGTACATGCAAGAGTCACGAAGACAATTAGCATTCTATCAACATAACATAACATGGACCGACATTGGGGCCTTCAACCCGCTAAACTTGGTAAGGAAACTCACCTCGAATGCTGAAACTCACTACAAGAAATACCTAACTGCTGCCCTGACAACTCCTCGAGCTAACAATACCGAAATATAACCCAATTAGCAATTGGGTTCCAAACCATGATCCAAAATCCATACTTGGGGTAAAATAACCATTTTACCCCCAGCCCAATAAGATACATAACTAAGGCCCAAGCCCAAAACCAACAATATCCAAAACCACAAAATCCATGAAAGCCCACTAATAGCCCAATTTTCTAAATTGGGCCCAATCCTATACGGGCCTTATCCTAAGCCCACATTTCCAATTCAGATTGCTTCAAACACCCTGTGGGACAAAATCGATCAAATGCATAATTTAAAGGCAAGGTCAACGGCCTGAGTTGACCCAACTCGCCGAGTTGTCCTTCAACTTGTCGAGTTCCTCTGACAACTGCAAAGTCAGGAAGAACCCGATCCAACTTGCCGAGTGGACCCACACAAACTCCAAAACGGGAAAAACCAAAACAACTCTTCGAGTTCACCTGAGACCAAACAACCTAACCCATTAAGCCGATATATTCGAAACTAATAGCTTCTCCCACTTAGATCTTAACTGAAATGGCCCTAAAAAGGGTAAAGTTTCCAATCTTACCCCTAAGAACCACCAAATTGGGTTCAAAACCCAAACCCTAAACTTAGAAGGGTAAGGACTTAATCATTAAGCACTTGTTTTACAAGGACACAACTCCAAGATGCAGATCTGACCATATGAGGCTAGATGGCCATGTAAACTTTCCAACTTTACACTTATTCATACTTAGAAGAAGCTCAAAAGTTTAAAAGAGACCAAAAGAAGTACTTAATGAATACGTGAAGCCCTTATGACCATAAAGTTGACACCTTTATGCCAAAAGAGCTCAAGAGGACCATAGATCTGGAAGAATATCATTTGGGACGTCCGTCAACCCCACCAATCACCCAAACATGGCTAAAATCATCAAAACTTAACCCAAAAAGAGATCTAATCAAATATTAAGCAAGGATAGAACTTTATACCCACAATACACTGGAAATGATACAAATAATCAAAGATCCGAAGGCTTCGACTTGAATCATCACCTTGCACTAAGCTTCTCCTTCTTCCATAAACACACCAAAACACACTAAAAAAGGGCTCACAACACTCAAAAGGCTTTAGGGTTTTGAGATTAGGGTTAAGGATAATAACTTAAGTATAAGTCACAAATTCTTTTGATAAGTTAAGAATAATAACTTATAAAAAAATGACTGATCTTGGATTCCATACTATTATAATTATAATGATTTTAAAAACTATATAAAAAGAATAATAAATTAAAAAGTTACTTAAACTCTTTAAGTGAGCCAAACACCCTTTTAATAACAAAATAAAAGATAGAACAAATCATAATGCGCTACCTATTATGGTAGAACAGACACGGCAAGCGTAATCTTCAAATATACCCTTCCAAGACGTAACAGCGGCATTTTTGTCACCCAAACGCAGAAAAAACCATCGATTGCTTTAGATCTCAACAAAAGACGCTTTCAATTCCCCCCAGCCCACAAGATCCATCCAAATCCCTTAACCTGCTCGAAGGTTACTTCAATTCCTTTTTCCATTTTCATGATCTGGGATCGATTAATCCTCCGACTTTTAGCTTCTACGTGGTTGTTCTAATGTCGAATTGCTGCATTTGCAGGTTTCAATCATCTACAAGGGGGTTGAGAGCCATATCATGATTTGGGTTTGACGATTTAAAAGAATTAGTGTTGATGGACAAAAATAAAAACAGGACCGATCTGCTCGCTGCTGGCCGTAAAAAGGTTAGTGTTGGGTAAATTTTAATGTCATTTAAACTTGTGATTTGTTAGTTAGAACTACGAATCGACAGTTACTGTTTGCTTGAATAGAGAAATATTGGGAAATAAATTGCTTTGATTGATTCTACTGTTGTTTCTTACTGAAATGAAGGAAAGATTTGATTGTTCTCTTTCGTATAGCACTTAGGTTTTATCAAATTTTGACATTGTAAAAGGGGGAAAATCCTGTACCAATGTTCAAGGCTTCTTAAACCCTACAACTCATTTATATGAAACAGCTGTGATGCTCTTTTTGCAATAGAAAACTTGCATTGCTTCCAATTTCCATAACAAAATTTTACTTTTGCTTAATCTTAGGATGTGTCTGGATGTACATTGCTTGGAAAAAACTGATTATCTGATTATTTGGGGTCAAAATAATCAGATTTAGCCCATTATTTTGATTCTAAATCTTCAAGGACTTTGAAAACATAAATCTGAATACCCCCTTATTATGATCTCTATGTTTACACTCTCTTTCATCTTGTCACCTACTGTGAATATCCAAATGGCACTGCTATTATGGCAGCATAGATGTCTGTGTACTTGCATTGGTGCTCTAGAGTAGCTTTAAAGTATTATAATTTTTTGAATAAACTTTAAACAGTTTGAAATTTGGTTTTGACATTATTTGTTATGCTTTATCAGCTTCAACAATATCGGCAAAAGAAGGATGGTAAAGGCAGTAAATCCTCGGGTAAGGCCAATAAACCTGGACGTGATGTGGTTGCTGGTGACTCATCATCTGTTGCCAAATCATCACCTGAACAAGTTTCAGGCACTGAGCTTGTTGAATTATCTTCACAAGCCTCCACAGATACCTCTGTAGCTACTAATGCTGATGTGGCAGCTCCTGATCCTTCCTCCACATCAGTTGCACCAATAGAAGTTTCTAAAGTTGATGATTCAGTCTCAAATGAAGATCTGCAAAGTTCTAATCGTGATGATGTGATACCAACTTTTTCTCCTCCAAAAATAGTTAACATTGAAGGAAAACTTGAAAGTGGTTTATCTGTTGGTTTGAAGGGTGTACTTGATAATAGTTTTGCTCATAAAGCAGGTGAAATGATTGCTGCACATGGGGAAGATCAGGTACCAGATGTAGGTTGTGCCTGTATTCTCTTGTTCTCAATTACAATTTCTTACCACCATATAATTGGGGTTTTAAAATCAACATATTTGTGTGGTTTATAACCAAAATCTCTTTGTTTGTTTGTTTGTTAGGGACATTGCAGGAAGATAATAGAACCAGTTTGATAGATGTTGAAGGGGACATGAATCAAGTTAATTCGGGGGATGTTGAAAAAGATGCTAAGATGGAAGAATCTACAAGCAGTGCAATAGAACAAACTAGTGAAGAGCGTGATGGATTTCCTGCATTTGTTAATGCAGATGTGAATTCTGCTTCTGGGCTTCCCTCATCTTCTGATCAAGAACGTTTAATTGGTGATTCCGGTGATACCAATGCAGATGAACATGAACCTACAATTGGTGATTCCAGTGATGCTAATGCAGATGTACATTCTGCTTCTGCGCTCCCTTCTTCTGATCATGAACCTGCAATTGATGATTCCGGTGATACTAATGCAGATGCACAATATGCTTCTGTGCTTCCCTCATCTTCTGATCATGAACCTACGATTGGTGATTCCGGTGTTAGTAATGCAGAAGAACATTCCCTTTCTGGGCTCTTATATTCTGATCATGGACCTGCAATTGGTGATTCCGGTGATACTAATGCAGATGTACATTCTGCTTCTGTGCTTCCCCCATCTTCTGATCTTGAACTTACAATTGGTGATTCCGGTGTTAGTAATGCAGATGAACAGTCTCTTTCTGGGCTCCTATATTCTGATCATGGACCTGCAATTGGTGATTCCAGTGAAACTAATGCGGATGTATATTCTGTTTCTGGGCTCCCATATTCTGATCGTGAACTTACAATTGGTGATTCCGGTGTTAGTAATGCAGATGAACATTCTCTTTCTGGGCTCTTATATTCTTATCATGGACCTGTAATTGGTGATTCTGGTGTTTCTAATGCGGATGTACATTCTGTTTCTGGGCTCCCATCTTCTGATCATGAACTTACATATGGTGATTCCGGTGTTAGTAATGCAGATGAACATTCTCTTTCTGGGCTCCTATATTCTGATCAGGGACCTGCAGTTGGTGATTCCAGTGATTCTATTGCAGATGTACATTCTTTTACAGTTGGTGATTCCGGTGTTAGTAATGCAAATGAACATTCTCTTTCTGGGCTCCTATATTCTGATCTGGGACCTGCAGTTGGTGATTCCAGTGATTCTATTGCAGATGTACATTCTTTTACAGTTGGTGATTCCGGTGTTAGTAATGCAGATGAGCATTCTCTTTCTGGGCTCCTATATTCTGATCATGTACCTGCAATTGGTGATTCCAGCGATTCTAATGCAGATGTGCATTCCGTTACAGTTGGTGATTCCGGTGTTAGTAATGCAGATGAACATTCTCTTTCTGGGCTCCTATATTCTGATCAGGGACCTGCAATTCGTGATTCCGGTGACACTGATGCAGATGTACGTTCTGCTTCTGTGCTTCCTCCATCTTCTGATCATGAAGTTGCAATCGCTGATTCCGGTGATACTAATGAAGATGTAGTGGTAGACATTCATACGAAGTCTGGCTCTGCTGAGTTCCCAGAGAAACTCAAAGAGCAGTTATATATCAACAATTTTGAAAAAGAATTGGTTCACTTGCAGCTATGTGAAGAAAGGGACGTAAGAAAGGAGTTTGAACAGCACCATCTTCAATGGGAGAATGAGAAATCATCTTTTATTACTTCCATTGCTGATCTTGAAGGCAAGAACAGAACCCTTTCTGAAGAGATTGCTGAATGTAGATCTGAACTTAACACATTTGCAAACAAAATGGAGGAGCTTGATATGAGTGTTTCTTTCTCAAAAACAGAATTTGACTGGTCTTCTTCTCGCATCCAGGAATTGGAGACTGAACTGTCGAATGTGTCATCTGAGTTGGTTGATAGTAAGAGTTTGGTTTCAGATTTGCAGGTGAAAAATGAAACCCTAAATGTCAATGTTGCTTCATTGACAGAGGAGAAAGATAAACTTGAGAAGGAGAAAGGAGATGTGATTCTGGAGAATAAAAAGTTGAGTAAAGATTTGATGGAGTGCAAATCTTTACTGCAATCAGCACATGTTGAAAAAGTCAATGTTAAAGAAACTCTTGCTCTTGTAATGGAGGAAATGAAGAAACTGGAAGAGGCAAAACAAAAGTATGTTTCTGAAAAGGACAAACTGCTAAGTGACTGGAAGAAATTAGAAGAGGTTCTAGCTTCAGAGAGGGAAGAAAGAAGTAAAAATAATGAAGCAAATGATCACTTTATCCAGGAGAATAATAAAGTTTCCATGGAGTTATTGGAATCCAAGAAGTTAATGGAAAGTTTAGAGTCAGAAATTGCTAACTTAAGTGAGAATCTTGATCTGGTAACAAAGGAAAGAACCAAACTTGGAGAAGATTTGGATCATTTAAGATTCGAAAAGGAGGAGTGTTTGACAGAGTTAACAAGCTGCAAAACTTTATTGAAGAATCTTCAGGTGGAATATGAGGAGTCCATGAATGAATCAAGAGACAGTGCCCTAAGGCTTGAAAAACTCACTGAGGAAAATGTTACTCTTACTAGTAATCTGGGCATGTACAAAGCTAAGGTTACAGAATTGGATGATTGGAAAATGAAGTCTGAAGAAAGAGCCTCTCATGGGAAACTAGAAGAGCTCACGGAAGCCATGAAAGAGCAGAGTAATAGTTTTGAGGAAATATTCTTGAAAAATGTGATCTTGGATGAGGTTATGAAGCAATATGTGCACACGGTTGAATCCAAAAAAGGTGATCTTGTAAATTTGTGTGAAGACTTGAGGCAAGAAGTGATCAGCACTAAAACACAAAACTCAGAGCTTACAGAAAACCTTCACAACTCTGAATCAAGAATCCATGAATTGCAGTTACAGGTGGATGACATGGCTTCTTTTAGTAACCAACTGGAGCTGCTTCACAGAAAGCTTGATGCATCTATTGAGGGCATTTCCACCATTCATTCAAGTGAAGCAATTGTGGGTGACAATATCTTTGCTCGTGTAGCTACTTCTGTTGATGCAGCCGTTGAAGTAATCCAAGATTTGCAAGAAAAGCTTGAAGATTCTCTCAAAACCCGTAACTCCCTTTCAGATTCTTACAAGGAAATGAGTGAAAAAATCAAGGATTTAGAACAGACGAATGAGCTTGCTGCCTATGTGATACATAGAGTCTTTGATAACCTTCAGAAAATTGTGAATGGTTCTACAGAAGAAAGTGAAGATGATACAAGAAATGAACAGCTGGATCATCTAGAAATCAGCAACTATGATGTGTTCATCGAACGATTAATAATGATTCTTCGTGAACGTGCACAACTCGAAACAAAAAACAGAGAATACAATTTGGATTTGTTGAGAAGAATAAAAGATTTGGAAGAATCAAACAGAAAGCTTAATAATCCAGCCAAGGATTTGAAATTGATGGAGTTACAGACCAAAGTAAACCAGTTAACCTCTTCAATCATCCCATACGAAATCGAAAGCTCCATTTATAAGGAAAGTTTGAGGTCTGCAATTGAACAGATTGCTGTCATTCAATCTGAAACAAAGATAAAAGAAACAGAACTTCATCAATCTGAGAACCGTGTTTCTGCTTTGAGAGAAAAGCTTCATATTGCTGTTACAAAAGGGAAAGGTTTAATTCAACAACGTGACACCCTGAAGCAGAATCTTACAATGAAAGACGCTGCACTTCAAGAGCTTGAAACAAAGCTTAAATCATACTCTGAAGCTGGTGAGAGAATGGAAGCTCTTGAATCTGAGCTCTCCTACATTCGGAATTCAGCTACTGCATTACGAGAATCTTTTCTGTTAAAAGATTCTGTTCTTCAGAGAATCGAAGAGATTCTAGAAGATTTGGACCTTCCGGAACACTTCCATGATAGAGACATTATTGACAAGATTGATTGGTTGGCAAAATCGGTTTCCCATGAACCGAGTCAAACGGGTGTAATTGAGCGAGCTCATTCGTATCCTGGTTCTGGTCCTTTAGAAGGATGGAAAGAAGATTTGGAACCAGTTTCAGATGAATTAAGAAGAAATTATGAGGATCTTCAGAATAAGTTTTATGAGTTGGCTGAGCAAAATGAGATGTTGGAACAATCATTAATGGAGAGAAATAATCTTGTGCAGCGGTGTGAAGAAGTTTTGGAAAAGACAAATATGCCCTTGCATTTGAGATCATTGGAACCAGAAGATAAAATCGACTGGTTACGTGTTGTTCTTGCTGAGGCAAATGACCGTTGTGCCCACCTTGAAGAATCGTTAATGGAGAGAGATAGTCTTGTGCAGCGTTGTGAAGAAGTTTTGGAAAAGACAAATATGCCCCCGCATTTGCAATCATCAGAGCTAGAACATAAGATTGATTGGTTACGTGTTGGTCATTCGGAGGCAAATGACCTTTGTGCCCTCCTTGAAGAATCGTTAATGGAGAGAAACAGTCTTGTGCAGCGTTGTGAAGAAGTTTTGGAAAAGACAAATATGCCCCCGCATATGCAATCATCAGAGCTAGAACATAAGATCGATTGGTTACGTGGTGTTTATTCGGAGGCAAATGACCGTTGTGCCCTCCTTGAACAATCGTTAATGGAGAAAAGTAAGATTGTGCAGCGTTGTGAAGATGTTTTGGAAAAGACGAATATGCCCCCGCATTTGCAATCATCAGAGCTAGAACATAAGATCGGTTGGTTATGTGTTGTTCTTTCGGAGGCAAATGACCGTTGTGCCCTTCTTCAGCAAGATTTGGAAAAGATTCGTGGGTCACTTTCTGCTGATCTTGAAGAGTCTAATAGAAGATTACTTGATGTTGAGGCAAATCTTAAGTCAATTGCAGATGAACGAGACCAGATTTTAGCTCATTTTGAGGCTCAGAGTCAAGATTATAATAAAATCAAAGAGGAAGTTTCATCGTATGAAATCGAGAATGTTAAATTAAAAAATGAAATCGATGCATTGCAATTAAAATTAGATGAGAAGCATGTGGATGAAGAGCAGATACAACATGTTAATGGTGAAATAAAGCGGTTGCAGGATTTAGTGAAGAACATGCTTCAAGATCCAGAAATGGAAGATTTTGATTCAAGTATGAATGATATTCAGAGTCTCGAAGGTTTGCTGAGGAAGCTAGAAGAAAAATATCCAAAATACCCTTCGGGAGAAAGAAGCATTGAACAGTTAGAGGTCTTGGAGAGAAAGCTAGAGGAGGTTGAAGGTGATTTAGTGCAAGTGAAGGATGAAAGGGATAAACACATGGAAAAAAGTCAATCTTTGGTCAATGAAGTTGAAGCATTAGAGGTAAAGAATCAAGAATTACAGAAGTTACTTGTTCAAGAAGAGCAGAAGACTGGTGTAGTTAGAGAGAAGTTAAATGTTGCAGTTAGAAAAGGGAAATCTTTAATTCAACAACGAGACACCATGAAGCAAAACATCAATGAGTTGACCGCTGAGGTGGCACGTTTGACTTCCGAAATCAAAGTTCGTGAGAACACACTTTTGGACAGTCAAGAAAAGATGAAGGAATCGTTCAAAACCATCAATGAGTTGACCGCTGAGGTGGCAGGTTTGACTTCCGAGATTAAAGTTCGTGAAAATACACTTTTGGGACATCAAGAAAAGATGAAAGACTTGTTTACCCTCCAAGAATTGGTGGAAAATAAAGATTCTGAAATCCGGTTCTTGAAAAATCGTGTGGAAGAGATTTTAAGTGCTTTGGGAAAGATTGATGTTGGGGTTGAATTGAAAAATAATGACCCGATTGAAAAAATTGAGAAAAAATGTCGCGATTTACAAGATGGAATCTTGTCTGCTGAACAAGATTCAAGAAAATCAAAAAGGGCTGCTGAATTACTTCTTGAAGAGCTGAATGAAGTACAGGAAAGAAATGAAGATCTTGTTGATGAGATTTCAAAGCTATCAAGGGAAAAAGATTCAGCAGAAGCTGCCATGCGGGATTCTCTCTCACATCTTGAACAGTTGTCAGCTCTTCATTTGGATGAAAGAAGTAGCCAGTTTGAAGAACTGATGAATTTGAAATCTGATTTTGAACAATTAAAGCCAGAATTAAGAAACATCTACAATCTTGTGAATGATGTTTTGCCCAAAGATTTGGATCATTTTTACAATCTTGAATCCAGTGTTAAATCATTGTTGGAATCAAGTGATGCTTCAAACACCTCTCTCAGAAAGGATTCCAAGGTAAACTAATCAATAAAATTACATGTTATAGAAATACACTTTTATGTTTCTAATTAGATTCTCTTCTCAGGATAACCTTTTCTTGGACACCAAAAGAGAAGAGGAACACAGTGATGATGATGAGATTGTTGATTTATGGAGATTTGTTGGGACCCACATGGAGGATTTAATATCTAACATCAGTCTTTTTGAAGAAAAACTGGAAGCACATTCAAAATCTTTACATGAAGAAGCTGTTGTTTTATCTGAGACAGTGTCAACTCTTCATAAGGAAATGACTTCCAGTAAATCCTCCCTTGAATCCATTAATAATCAGAAAGAGAAAGAAAATTTAGCCCTATGTAAACACATTTCAATGCTGTATGAAGCTTGCAAGAATTCAGTTTTTGAAATGGAAAAAGTCAAAGGCCAAATGGTTTCAGATGATGAATCCTTGTTGTTCATTGAAGGAGACACACTTTCTGTTTCTGAAGAACAAATCATGAATATGGTGAACAGATTGTTGTCACATGTGAAGGATTTTCACAGTTTTCAGACTGAAAATATGGAAGCGAACCTAAAGGAAATGAAGGAAAGAATTTCTAGTTTACAGAAAGAGTTGACTGAAAAAGATGTTCAGAAGGATAGAATCTGTGTTGACTTGGTCAATCAGATCAAACGAGCTGAAGCATCTGCCATGAGCAACTTACAACAACTCGAATCTTCCAAAACTCAAGTAAATGACTTAAAAGGGCAATTGGAAGCTGTGAATGCTGAGTGTAAAGCATTACAACAAAGGGTAAAAGAGGTAGAAGAAAGTCAAGAAGAAAAAGTAAAATCACTTACACATGCTTTAACATCAAAAGAACAAGGTGACTGATTATTAAATTTATAAAAATCTTTATCAAGATAGTCGTTTTTTAAACATGTTTTGATTTTCTGTTGTTGCAGAAGCTGAAGCTTTATTACAGGTGCTTGATGAAGAAGAAGCCCAAATGGAAGATTTAACAAACAAAATCACAGAATTAGAAAAACTTATGAAACAAAAAGATCATGATTTGGCAAACACCGAAGCTGCACGTGGAAAAGCATTAAAGAAACTTTCAATCACAGTCAACAAATTCGATGAACTTCATCATCTCTCAGAAACCCTAGTTTCTGAAATCGATAACCTTCAATCCCAGCTTCAAGAACGCGATTCTGAAATCTCTTTCTTGAGAGATGAAATCACAAGATGCACAAGTGATTCCTTACAAGCATTGGAATCTGACAAAAAAGGATTGGATTCCATCCAAGACATTTTAACTTGGTTACAAACACAAGATCTGCATCTTGATGACAACAATGGCGAATCCAATCAAGTTCATGAATATAAAGAAACACTCAAGAACCAAATCACAACTATTGTTTCTGAATTGAAAGAATTACGCCAGGTGGCACAAAGTAAAGATGAGCTATTGCATATTGAAAGGAGTAAAAGAGAGATTCTTGAAAGTTCCATGAGAGAACAAGAATCAAGATTGAGTTTGCGTCAAGATAATGATGAATCTGCTAGAGGAGCAACATCTATCACATCAGAAATCGTGGAAGTTGAACCTGTGGTAAAATTAAACCCTTTTTTCATTTAATTGTGTATTACTATTTACTAATAATGATTATTTGTTTTTTTTTAATTGATGAAGATTAATACATGGCAACCGAAAGGGACAACATCTCAAGTTAGAAGCTTGCGAAAAGTAAATAATGATCAACTTGCCATTTCCATAGATGATGTGGACTCAGATGAAAAGGATAAGTTAGAAGATGAAGATGATGATAAATGTATTATCTTTTTCCCCTTTTCTTTTTCTTTTATTATGAAATTAATATAGATTCTTATTTTTTTTTAATTGTTTTTTGTTCATTCATTCAGCTCATGGTTTCAAGTCTCTTACAACATCAAAACTTGTCCCAAAGTTCACTAGGCCTGTTACAAACTTCATTGATGGCTTATGGTATATTCTTTCATTCTGTGTGTGATTTTTCTATGAAATTTATGATTTCTGATTTATGAAAATGATGTGTTTTGTTTTTTTAGGGTTTCATGTGATAGGGCATTACAGAGACAGCCTGTTCTGCGATTGAGTCTAATTCTTTACTGGGCCTTGATGCATGCACTTCTTGCAGCTTTTGTAGTTTGAGTGGTTAGATTCTTCCTCTCATATTTTTATTTTTCTTAAGAAGAGGATTATGCAGTTTAATCATTTTCTTTCTGATATGCAGTTTCTCATTTGTGGATGAAAGAAAAGAACCCTAGATTGGTTTGTTTTCATAATTTAGGTGAAGATGTGCACAAGTGAAGTGGCTGTGATTTCTCCATATTTGATCAGAAAATCACAGATATATATATCTTTATATCTTGTTCAGTGATATACAAAAGAGTTTACCAATAATTTGGGCATCTATTTGAAGTTTTACAGTTTTGCCTCACAACCAAGAACCCTAATTCATCTCTCTCACTCTCATGTGGAGGTGAATGGCCCTTTTAAATATATTGTTTGTTTAGGGAAGGCAAGTGCATATATGTGTAGTTTTGTTATACCCCACCCCACCCCACCCAATCCCATATTTCTGGGCTTTTTACATTACATTTACTTATAATCAATGTTTGCAAAGATTGTTTAAGCAATGAAACACAGATTTTGACATGTTTTCTTATACTTGTACCCTTATTTCTCGGCTTTTACTATTAATTTTTTTATTTTTTTTTCTATGAATTAAAAAGAAATATTAACTTATAGGTTACTGGATTAAGTTATGTTCTTGTTGAGGTTATTTAAGTAAAAAAGAAACATCATTTTAACATTTCTTATATGAAACATCATCTTAACTTTCAACCCACTATTCGATGTGATTTGTAATAAATCAATCTTTACTAATACATATGTATTATGTATTTTTCAAATAATAATGTATTATGCATTTTTCACATGTTGTGCATAATTTTCATAGTACATGCATTTTCCACAAAGTCAAATAGTTTATGTAGCAATGTACTTTTAATTTCATAAATAAAAAATAGATTTGAACATTAATATAATTATTTTTGATATCTAATTAGTTAGGCTGCAACGTATACCCCCACCGGTGCGGTGGGGTGGGGTGATTTGGCAATTCCACAACACAAGCAATGAAGCAAACACTATGTCACAAGTGCGAAGAATCGCACGATAACCATTTGCTTTACTATCTCTTCATTTTCTTTCCTCTTTAACAATTAGAATATGACTTTTTTTTTTTTGTTTTTTTAAGTAACGTTCAAAATCTTATATATATATATATATATATATATATATATATATATATATATATATATATATATATATATAAAAGAAAAAGAGAATATACATTACAACTCCACCTAAGCTTAGGTACTAAACCTATTGAAAATATATTGTTTTACTATATAAAGATTATGGTTAATGGATTCACGATTAATACTTCAAGATGTAAATTCAAGATCGACACAATAGGGTTTAGGGTTTAGGGTTTATATTTATTTTTAGGGTTAAGGTTTAGGGTTTAGGGTTTAGTGTTTAAATTTAGGGTTTAGGGTTTACCTTTAGTGTTTAGGGTTTAAATTTAGGGTTTAGCTTTTGGGTTTAGGGTTTAGTAATGTTAACTTAGATGAAGTAATAAACGATAATTGAGGAAAAAAACGGAGATGATAGAACGATAATGAACGAAAGAAATGTTATGGAGAATGATATATTTATCAGGTGAAACCAAACCGGGTATATTTAGCATGTTAAAACGACATATTTTAGAGATTTAGTACCTAAGCTTAGGTGGGACTATAATGTATATTCCATATCCCCATATATATATATATATATATATATATATATATATATATATATATATATATATATATATTATAGAAAAGTGAATATACCCTTAAGGGTATACAAGATTAGGTACCCAAACCCTCTATAATAGGTCATTTTGTTTGATAAATTCATTATAATGTTCTTAAACTTCAACCCCTAACTTGATTTATTTTCAAGACTTTTGAAAATTTATTATTATTTTCTTCTTATATTACATCATTTTGTCGAACACCTAATAGATTATATATATTATAGTTGAAAATGAAAATTATGTAAGGGGAAAATAAATGTGAAATTTATAAAAATCTTGGCAGTCAATCAAGTTAAAAGTTGAATTATAAGAACATTGGACAACTACAATGTATATATATGATTCAAAACGACGTAATATAGTGAATTTGAGTACCTAAACTTATATACCCTTAATGGTATATTCACTTTTCTCATATATATATATATATATATATATATATATATATATATATATATATATATATATATCAATTTTTTTAACTTTCAATCTCACCCGTCTACTCTTTTTCCATCATTTTTATAACAAAATGGATTCTAATAACCCCGCCCCAAAAACTAGTTGAAAAAAATCTTGTGCTTCTTGTTCAAACATGCAGACTAGAAAATTTTTCACCTTTAGATTTGTCGATTTCGATTTATTGTCCCTAATTGGACACCCTTATTCACCCCCTTCCTACAATTTCAATATCAAAATGTTCAATCATATTATCTCATGTTAATGCCAAATATTACACCGAACATGATCAACAACTTTGTGATTTTTCCGACCATGTTTCGCCAACCTAACCTCATCTTGCACCACATAGCTACCCCCCCCCCCTACGAGCCACAAACACAATCCCCCAACGAGTCGGATAACGACTCCATACGGCAAACTCAACCCCCTCATCTAAAGACATATTCGAAAACCAAACCCTCCATGCAATAAAAGGAAAAGAAGCGATTACTACTATAATAAAGGAAGCCCCTTAAGGGTGGACTTCGAGGGAATATTGGTGTTGACAAAAGTGTGGGTCAACATATCTGGGGATGTAAATGAAGGACATGCATAATCGATTGATCATTTTTTGTTATGTATTACAAAATGATTTCTCGAAGAAATGGGGCATGGTGACAACCGTAATAAACACCAATTAAATACAAACTTTGGAGATATTAACAAGAATGTTACAAAGATGTACGAGTTGAATAACAACCTAAAAAGCCAAAGGAAAAATGAAGAAAGTGATGAAGAAATTATCCAAGAGGCGTATCAATTATTTTGCGAGGGAAACAATGAACACCATTCAAATATAATGACTAGTGGAAAGTTTTAGCATTTAGTCTAAAATGGAAAGATATACAAAAGAAAGAGGCTAAAGTCGCTGCAAGAAAAAGAACAAAAATGTCATCGAACAGTTACACAACTTCTTCTGATTCTTGTGTCGAGTTAGACTTAAATGAAAATGACAAACTCGAGTTAGAAGAAATAATTCGCTCGATGGGTAGCGACAAAATGAAAAATACATAAAATAACAATAATGCATCCGGATTTAGTGAAACAGAGGAAATACAAAAAAATTGATAATAAGCGTTGAACAATATAATTTTAATTTCACCGAACGTTTGACACTTAAAAAAGAAATATTGGCCAAAAAAGAAAAAGCACACGAGGTAAAGCCGAAGGCGTGTGACGAAAAACAACTCCTAAAAGATATGAAATTTTGATGCAAAAATTGGCCAAACAAAGGAAATACAAAAAAACGCTTCTATTTCTTCTTTGCTTATGCATATTGTTTGCTTAATATCAACTAGAAAAGTTGCCCATGCTTTGCATGGGTTGGAGGGTTTGGATTTGTGTTTGTGTTGAAACTTCTTGGCTTTGTTACCAAATAAAGCCAATCAAAAGAATTGAAACTTTTAAGGTACTCCTATTATAACACACATATTACCTGTTTGCAAGATTGAAGAAAATCACGACATGAAAATTTGTGCTTGATAACATGTTCCAACTTTAAAAGGGAATATGGTCATATTTCCATCAGATTGGGCTTATTAAACAAAAACAAAGTTGGCCATTACAGGATGATAGCAGGAATTATTCATTTGGTAGTCAAATTGCATTCCACTCTACCAAACACAAATATGTTTTTTTTACAATTATAAAAAGTAAAAGAATCAACTCTTTCATTGTAGTCATTTTAGTAGGATATAGACAAGCAAATGACAGACTTGCATTTCATCTTTTAGCTTCTAAACCATCTCCTTTACCTGAAAACCAAAAACAAAAAATAAATACTACAATTTTCAATTCCATTTAATTGTATCATATACACCATATCAGTTAGGTCCACCGATCTGTTTCAATTATGAAATCAAGATCACCTCCCGCAAGTGATCCTCATGATGCTCCTGCGTCTTGGAGTAAACCAAGATGTCATCAATGAAAACTATCACGGTCTGCATACGTGGTTCATGAGGTCCATAAACGCGGAAGGAACATTGGTGAGCCCGAAGGGAATCACCACTAACTCGTAGTGGCCGTAGCGAGTCCAAAAAGCTGTCTTCTGTACATCCTCGTCTCTAACCCTCATCAGATGGTAGCTTGACCTCAAATCTATCTTTGCAAACCAAGATTCCCCCAGAAGCTGGTCGAAAAGATCATTAATCCTCGGGAGTGGGTAACGGTTCTTCACCGTTACCTTGTTTAGCTCCCGGCAGTCTATACACATCCGATGCGACCTGTCCTTCTTCTTGACAAACAGATCGATTCTCCCCGGGGTGAACCGCTTAGTCTGATGAATCCTTTATCTAATAACTCCTGCAGCTGTGTAGACAACTCCTGCATCTAGGGAGGAGCCAACCGATACGGGGCCTTGGCTATCGGAGCCGCAACCGAGACTATGTCGATCTAAACTCCACCTGCCTCTCTGGAGGTATCCCCAACAAATCCTCTGGAAATACATCCGGGTACTCCCGCACCACTGGCACATTACTCACGGTCGCCTCACCCTCCTCTCGGGTATCCATGCCATAGGTGATATATCCGGTGCAACCTTGCTGAAGGTAGCGCCTAGCCCTCATTACTGAGCAAAAAGCTAGCTCGCACCGTGGCTTCTCTCCCTGAATCACCAGCTCTCCCCTACTTGGGGTCCTGACCCGAACCAACTATTGCGCTTAGTTGATCACTGCCCTATTACGACTCAACCAGTCCATACTGATGATGACCTTGTTCCCACGAAATGGTATGGGAACCAAGTCTACTAGATAGTGTCACACCCCCAAACAGGAACGATGGAAACGTTCAGGGGCGGAGGACGTCATGTTTAGTATCACAACACATGTATCATAGCAATCATAGTAACAACAACCATTATATTAATATTAAAGTGCTCACAAGTAATGATTCACAAAGATTGAATCCAAAAGTAAATAACAAAACAAGACATGAAGCTACTATACTTCATCTTCTGAATCCCTGTGTGTGTACCTATCTGCTAGTTTTCTGAGAATACAAGTTATTTTGAAAGACTAGATCAACATTTACGCTGGTGAGTTCATAAGTATTTTAGTGATGTAAAGTAAGTTGAAAGCTCTTTTATAAAAGTTCGCCTATTCCTTCAGAAGATCCTATATCTTCTGATATGATGAAAGTTAAGTAAAAATGGCTCTACAATCCTTTCTATGAGTACTAAATGAATACAAGTCATATAAAACCCAGAATAAAATAATAATCGGTTGTGTGAATCTGCCCTAAGCCCACAGCCAAACAAGGAAGAGAAAATGAGGCGGAAGTCACACATCCCATAGTTTTTTAGATCTTCGTTGTATATAATCCT